CCCCCCCTCCCCCCTCCCCAACCCCACTCCCCGGGTCACTTGTTTACATCGGTTCATAAAAATATCTCCACTTAAACAATAAGAAATGAGAGAACTTCTAAAGGTGGCGGGCCCTATTATGTTTCGTTGGTCGTGGAGCTGCAAAGAGGAAACCCTTGAACTCCCAGTTTTGACCATATTCAAGTCTAGCTCCCTGCTGGAATCAACACGGGCTGAACTATTTTATATAATCCTGACCGCGTCCCAGTTGACGTATTGAGAAGCCACTTGGTCGAGGGATCTCGCCTATCCCATTCATTGCCATGGGGAGATTTTGATGCCCTCGTCCCCCTTCTGCACACTTATACGCAGTTGACCCGAGTGGGAGTAGCGCGCTGTCAATCGATAGTTGTCCCAGTGTTTATATTACCCGTTGTCCGGATGTCTTCTGTGGGTTGCTGTCTTGAACGAACAGATTAATATAATTTGTTTCTATTTGGCAAAAGTTTTTCAGTCTTTGGTCCTAAAAGCACATGGAAGCACGCCAAACGCTGTGTCACACCTCGTACATATGCTATAGAGTGACGTCTAGAAGACCTTATGATCCACAGGTAGTCACTACCTTAGAATTACAAAGTTCTATCTGCTCAGCACCTAGTTTTGAGGAAATTGACGTAAAAAAAACTTTGAATTTCACAATATGTCAACCTTTCTCGAATGCAATTCTTTGATCTGAATATCTTGATAACGAGTCCGAATAATCTTACGATTTTGATAGAGCAGATAGAAAATTTGGTTTCTGACCTCCTGCTCTCAGTAACTCAAAATGGCCAAAAATGTCAGATAGAACTTTGTAATTCTTAGGTAGCGTAGAGTTAACCCTCTTGTCCCTCCCTACCTCTACTACCAAGCAGCTCGTCACTGGCCAGAAGTTCTGGCGGCGCTTTTTGCTTTAAACGCTGGCGTGCAATATACTGTATTGTCGTCTACTGAATCTCCTTTCAGTAGACGCATGTCTTTCCCGAAACTCGGGATGGGGTAGATATTTTTTGTTATCGAGCATCTCTACATTTCAACCGTGATGTCTTCCTGGGGTGGTCGACGTATCTACCCTTTCAATGATAGAATTGGGGGTGGTGTGTTCCTTAAAGATTTACAATATAATGTTACAACTGCGAAAGTCTACCTCTCGTACGTCGTGCGAAATATTGTTCGTAATACATAATGTAGTGTAGTAACATACACTTCGTTTCTAGCTGATTGCGATAAGGCCTGCCGTTTCGTGTACTTGGTTGTTATTAAGAACATTTATTGCCATGAAAGTACGCATGTCTGTTTTTGTCTGGCTTCTGAACTGTTTTACAGTTTCGTGGATGTTCATCGATTCCGTGTATTTTTAAAACTTCTCCTCTCGCACCAGTTATGTCTCAGTACGTGTTCTCGGCGAAGGCAAGAACAAGCAAATACTTTACTTCCTAATGACTGAGAATACTGCGTTTCTTTCGTTTGTTTGTGGTTGCTTTTTTCTTCCTTTTGGAAATGCTCAATACCTTTGTCTGCAAACGTTTACTGTTACTTAAAAGGACCAATAGTTTATATTGAGTCTTTGTATAGGACACTTTATATGAGTAGCGTCAAAAGCAGTAGAAAGACAACAATGACTGATTTATAATTGACAACTGACATGAATAACGAAGTGTTGATGACTGACGGCTCTATGCTCAGATTTGGAGATCACTGGCTCGCAAATTTATATTTTGTAAATTTACAACATAAATACATGTATGTGCAGGAGACCGTGATATTACTCTTCCCTGTTGTAACTTGTTCTCACTTTGGTGTCGGTGACATCGTAGTGATAGCAAAGGAATTGAAGTGTCATCATGTTAAGAATGGTAAGAAAGGCATACTCTTCCTTCTCCACCCCCCAAAATGCTATACAAAGCCAATTCCGTATTCCCCAAATGCGATAATGGAAGATGAGTAACTGATGTCAAATACAACGTAAAGCAGTCTGTATGGTGTTGCTCCCAATCGAGGTACGAAGATAAACCATATAATATGTTATTATGATATAACGTGTTTGGAAGAATTGTTTTGGTCAATACCTCTAGCTTTGTCATCGAACAAAACTAGGCAGGTCTAGCTGGCGTAGGAAGTGGGGGCAGTGGCCAAGCCAAGAGGCTCACTGATCGGATGATTTCCCGTGCCTGGATAGCGCTCTTGAGCTTTACAAGATTCTGACGGCCTCCCCCGTCAGTATCGACAGGCCGCGATCGATCGATGTGTGATTGTTGTAAGTCATTCTGCCTTGTAGACTCCTTCGATCTCCATTCGTGGGCACCGGAGCGAACATTAAATTTGAGTGTGAAAAACATGATCGAGTCAGTAAACTGTATGTTCACGGATGCGCTTGGTCATGCAGGTGTGTTGTTGTGTGTGTGTGTGTGTGTGTGTGTGTGTG